AATTTGGGCTCTTGGAGTTAGATTTGACAACCTAGCAAAGCTCAAAGCCATGCAACAACCCATATTATTATTTCAAATACAAATCAACTTTTAAATATTTGATTATTAGTGGGATTTATAGAATAGATAAGTAATGCAATTTATCTACATATATTATGATATATGATGTTTATAAATGTGAAGGTCAACCTGATCTTTTATGTCGGCCTAACAACGCCAACAATTAAAAAAATAAACAAGGAGGGTGCCCCTCATTTTAATATAGTATTTATAGTATGCTTTATTTGAAAATTCACATTATAATATATGGAGATGATACGGTGTCGTTATGCAACCATTCCGTTGGAGTTTGCAACTATTAGATTAACTATTTCTAATGGTTACATGATTATCTAACGGTTACAGACCGACAAAATGATTTTGTAACCGGACCGCAACATTTCTCAGTAATATATTGCATTTGGTCAAAACGGGTACAGTGGTTTTGTAGACTAGTCTAGAAATTTTAGAAGCTTGCATATTTTTCACTGCCTGATCAACTGGATCAAAATATTGGGAGTTTGGCAGCATTAATGACTGTAGCAAATGTACTAAATATGCATTCGTACGAACTAAATACGATCATAAATGAACTAAATATGTATCATGTATATATTTCATTTGGATATAAAAATATGAACTAAATATTTCATTTCGTATGAATAAAATATGCATTTCGTATCAACTAAATATATATGCATAATGAATGAACTAAATATGCATCATGTATATATTTAATTTAAATATAACAAATATGCACTACTATATAACAAATATGCGCCGTGGATGAACTAAATATGCATAATGTATATATTTAATTTAAATATAACAAATATGCGCTATGAATAAACTAAATATGCATTTCGTATGAACAAAATATACATCTTGAATGAACTAAATATGCATTTTGTATATATAATTTAAATATAACAAATATACATTACCGATGAACTAAATATGCACTATAGATGAACTAAATATGCCTTTCTTATAAACCAAATATATATGCACAATAAATAAACTAAATATGTATTTTTTTATTACCTAAATATGCACAACAAATAAATTAAATATGCATTTTATATTACACTAATTATTAGTATATGATAACTTGCAAAAAAAAAAAAAAAAAAAAA